CCTCCTTTGTCTCCTCCCAGGCTTTGCTTAAAGCCACCTTTGGCATAAGGCCTTCCCTGGTACCTCTTTGACTAATGGGTGAGCTTCGAAGCAGTCTACCTGGCCTGTTTCTGTCTCTCCCTAGAGCGCCATGCCTAACACACTAGGGAGTACCTTACTTGTTCATGTCTCACCCCAGCCCACCAAGGGTCTGGATTTCTGTCTACATGTCTCCTGGGTATACCCACAGCATCCAGAACAATGCTCAGCACAGCAAGCCCACAAAGACCTTTAAGGAACTGAGGTGGCCACATGGCTACATGCTGTGCAGATGTTAGTAGGCTAAGCTTCTGTCTCACCCCAGTGTATTTCCCTGCTCACTGCTGACTAGCAAACCCTGAATAAGCAGTTATTTTCTGAGGAGGTAGAGCCACATAACACAAAACATTTTTTCAGACCATGGGCTAAGATCAGTGGCCCACTGTTGTAAAATCAATACAGTGGGTTAAACCACAATTTTTTTTTGGCAGTACTAGGGTTTGAATTCAGGGCCTCATGTGTGCGAAGCAGGTGCTCTACCACTTGAGCCACTCGCCACTCACTCTGCCAGTCCTTTTGCTTTGGTTATTTTGGGGATAGTGCCTCACTTTATTCCTAGGCTGGCTCAGACTTGGATCCTACTATTTATGTTTCCTTGCCTAGCTGAAATGACAGCTACACGCCACCGTGGCTCAGCCATTGGCTGAGATAGGGGTCTCACAAACTTTGCCCAGGCTGACCTCAAATTTGAGATCCTCCTGCCTCTGCCTCCCAAGTAACTAGGATTACAGCAATGTACCACCAAACCTGGCCAACTGAGCAATTCTTTTAAAATTAGTTATGCCTATGACTCAGCTACACCTGCTTTCAACTCACCTGGTCTACATGAATTTACCTGGCCAAAAAGCAAGGAGAGATAATGCTCCCCCAGAAGGAACTGTGCAAGCTATAGCCTGTGAGTTTAGCAGAAATAACCAGCCCCACAAGATAGAAATGATCCTCCGGAAATCTACCTTTGCAAATGCCGCAAAACGATAGGAAAGTTTCTTGTGAATGAAGCAAAATCAGCTTACCAGTGAAAAGCAAGTCTTCAGCATCAAGAGTGAGCAGGGGCTGGAAGTGTGGCTCAAAGTGGTAGTGTGCCTGCCTGGCAAGAGCAAAACCCTGAGTTTGAATGCCAGTACCACATAAAAAATAAATAAATATACAAAGCAAGATGGTTTTTCTAGCTGGTGACAACTGAGGACAAAAATAAAGTCCAAGAACACTGTCTGGCTTTGAAGCTAAAGCATTTTACTGGAGTGCAAACTGGATACATTTCATTCACTTCAAAGATTTTTTTTTTTTTGGTACTGGGGCTTGAACTCAGGGCCTACACCTTGAGCCACTCCACCAAGTCCTTTATTGTGAAAGGTTTTTTTTTTTCGAAATAGAGTCTTGCCAACATTTGCCTGGGTTGGGTTCAAACCATAATCCTCATCTCTGCCTCCTGAATAGTTAAGATTACAGGTGTGAGCCACCAACATCTGGCTAAAGATCACTTGTTTTAAAAAAAAAAAAAAAATCACTTGTCACAGTGCTTGCACAAGGCCCTGAGTTCAATCCTTAGTACAGGCAAAAAATAAATCACTTGCCAGTATTGTGAGACAAGCACATCGCTTCACTGGGCTCAGTTACAGCCTCCTTCATGGAACTCACCTGTCAGTTGGCATTTACTGTCACTTGGGGGTCAGAAGTGCTTATTCTACTCTTCTCTTCAATTTGATACACCTTCCCCTCCTTCAAGCTGTACACTTCTTGCCAGGGTAGCAAAACATCCATTGTCCATCTCAGCTCTGGCCAACTACTGAGCCAGTGACTAGTCTTTGCAAACCTCTCATGTCTGGACTGACTTGTCTTTCTCAGCTCACATACCCTGGCCCCTTGCCCCTCACCAAGGCCAAGGCCTGAGTGGTGCTAACAGACAGTTTGGGTAAGCACTGACTTGCCTGGATTCTTTGAAGACACAAGAGGTGGGAAATTAAGCTGTGTGGGCTCCAACCAGGGAGAAGCCAGGGGTGTCAAGGACTAAAGTTGGAGATGGGGTTCTGGCGGGCAGCGTGAGGACCAGGTGAGGCGCACCCGTAAGACGAAACCGGCCTGCCAATACCTGAGCCCCAAAGCAATCAGAGGAAACAGCACTCGCAGGGGCTCCTGCCCTCCCTTACAATCTTCACTTCCAAAACAGGGTGCTCCAGAAAAGGCTCCAGCTTATGGGGAAGGGAAAAACAAGGCACAGGACGCCAACTCCAGCACTCACCAGCCCTACCATGATGCCTCCTGGCCTTGTTCTAGCCATGTTGACCCTGAAGACAAGAGCACTTGGCAGGATTACAAGGATTCAGTGGTGTTGGTGATTATGGCCAACCTGTGCCTGACCAGTCACATATGTTTGGGGAGACATCTGCTGTGGATTTTCTGGCTGCATCTCTCCTTTGGGAGGTGGCCTCATTAGTCTACTGGCAAATCAGCCAAGCACTTTACCACTGAGCTACATCCTCAGCCCTTCGAATCAGCTATTTCCGATACCTGTTAGAGTTTTGAGGAGAAGGTCTGAAGGCAGGTTACATGATTGTTGTTGAAGGCTCAAGTAAGAACTCCCTGGTCAAGGCTCCTGGACAGCTCTCTCCGCCCTGCACCAGCTTACCTTTTCTTTTTCCCATACTGCTAGGGATCAAACCCAGGGTCTTTTGCAAGCTAGGCAAGTGCTGAATCACGTACACCCCTAATCTCCCAGTTCACATTTTTATTAGTAACGTTGCATTCCTTAGGTAACCTTACCTATGTTCCTCTACCTTTACTCCCTACAATGTGTAATCACATTTACCAGAGCACAGAATTACTTGTTGGTTGTAATTCTGTTCTTTGTAATATAGTGGGCTCCGAACTAAAAAAAAACTCTAACACTCAGGACAGATAACGTTATCTGTAAGTGAATCAGTCACCAGATCCTAGGGTTTGTGGTCCTCACAGTACCAGGTGACAGGGGACGTAAGTCTGGGCTGTGACTACCCTGAGGGTTACAGGACAAGTTTGTATCTGACAGAAGACAAAGGACGTGCTGTTAGCCTCACTCACCATTACTCCTGAATGCGTCCAAATTATTCACAGCCACCTCCTTATTCATGCACCTGAAGTTTTCACAGCATGGCATGCCCTTCCCTCCCCTCCAGTGAGGACAACCTTTAAGACTTACCCAAACTCCCTGTTCTGTGAAACTTACCCTAGGGCAGGCAGATAAAGCAGCCAACCACATGCTTCTGTGCCTCCTAATACACTGCACAGGCCACCAACATGGCCAAGTACACTGTCCAACAGTCACACAGGACCCTGACAGGAGGGTCACATCACCTTTGAAGTCCCATGCTGCATTTGAATCATCTCTGGTGAATAAAGTAATGAGCAAAAGTGAAGAGCACAGACTGGAGGGGTGGTTCAGGTGGTACCTGCCTTGCAAGCACAAAGCCTTGAGTTCAAACCCTATCACTGGAGCCACACCTTGTCTATTTTACTCCAGTTATTTTGGAGATGAGGGTCTCAAGAACTATTTGCTTGGGCTGGCCTCAAACTGCAATCCTCCCAATCTCAGCCTCCCAAGTAGCTAGGATTACAGGCATGAACCACCAGTGCCTGGTTATGGGATGGTTTTGAGACAATCTAATATTCAGTGCTGGGGAAGACACTATGATATAGGCATATACCATATACTCTGTCTGCCAAGAGTAATATAAATGGATTTAAAAAAAAAAAGTTGGGCCATAATTTGGCAATATCAAGTAACATTTCAAAATGGCATAGGCTCCAAAACAGCAATTCCAAAGTTCTAAAGAAAAGCCACTTGTATAAAGATCTAAGTACTCATTGCTTGTAATGAAATAATCTTTACTGTTAAGAACAATGGTGAAGTCAGACTCTGGTGGCTCATACCTGTAATCCTAGCTACTCAGGAGGCAGATATCAGGAGGATCATGATTAGAGGCCAGCCTGAGCAAAGAGTTCGTGAGACCCTATCTCAAAAACACCCAACACAAACTATGGCTGGCAGAGTGGCTCAAGTGGTAGAGCGTCTGCTTAGCACGTGTAATTGCTGAGTTCAAACCCCAGTACTTCGGAAAAGCAGAGGAAAAGGTTATTAGCCCGTAACACGGGACTCTGCACAGCCATCGGAAAGCCGCTGGCGCTGTATACATTGATATGAGAAGTTGTGTAAGGAATTCTGGGAGCGTTAAAAACTCTGTACCACAACGCGTATTTGACTTAGGCTTTTTTTTTTTTTAACGTAAAAACAGTTGCACATGTAATTTATATGCGTGCAACCGAGCCCAGAAGGAAAGCCAACACCTTCTCCGTGGTTACTTCCCAGTGGGAAGGGGGAAAGCAGAGATTAAGGTCATTCTATCTCCATCCGTTGTCTTATGAGCCAATTCTAGGCCCTGGGAAAACAGTGGCCAACAACCCAGAGCGCAGCGGCTCCCCGAGAGCCCGTTCCTGGTTTGTTCACCGTGGCGACCAGGCACTGGGCAGGTGCGCGGCTCGGTCCAGCTAACGAGCTAACGAGGAGTGACGGCTGGTCAAGTGCTTGGGGCGCGACCAGCCCCGGCGCCGGAGAATTGACACGATCACCCCGGCAGGCCGGTCCCCGGCACACACGCGCCCCCACGTCCCAGGTCTCCGAAGAGACGGCCCTGGCTCGCCACTGGCCGGAAGCCGCCTCCGTCTCGTGGCAGGAGAACCCTAGCCCGGAGAAGGCAGCCCGGCGGGGCGGACAAGGGGCGGAGCGCAGAGAAAGGCCGGGCAGCCGCTGTGTTCAGCGCCCGCCCCACGCTGGACACGGAGCCCGTGCAGCAGCTGTCGCCGCCTCGTGCCTGTCAGCGGAGCTCGCGGCCTCGGAGGGACGCTCCACCACCTCAGCGTCCAGCCCGCCAGTTGCCCGACGCCCTCACCTCCGGGGGCGGCCGCCAGCGCCGGAGCCCGCAGCGAGGGCCGCAGGCAGCGGCCCCACTGCAGCAGCACCCGCAGCTCCCGCGCCATGTCGTCGTCCGGGAAAGCCGCGCGCAGCCTGGAGGGGCGTGGCGAGCCCGCGGCGTTGAAGGGGGAGGGGCGTCCTTCGTCGCGGCGTGGTGACGTCGCGCGCGCGCGCCGGGTGACGTCACGGGGGCGCCGGGCTGCCAGAGGCACTACCCGAATAGGAACGTGGGCGGGGCCGGCCACGCGCGTGGACAGTGGGGCCTGAGGGCTGGACCTTGCGACCTTGGGTCTCGTTGTCAAGGGCGACGGCCTTGCGTCCAGAGCCCCCCGATTCGCGCCGGGCGGCTGCGCCTTGGCGTCGGCATCTCAGAATGGGGACTTGGTCGGAACACACGCGGTGGGGATGCGCAGAAGCGGCTAGCATTTCTGCGATTTTTACTCATCCGTGCCTCCGGTCTAGGCTGCTGGAAGTCCCTCCTAAACCAAGGAGACCAGAAGCTAAAAGGAATGACAGGATTCCAGGCTTGACTAGTGTACACCAAAACTCATTAGCCAACACCACCAGCAGAACTGGGCTTATTCCTTTATTCCGATTCTCTTCCTGCTGCGGATTAAGAGTACACTTTGGCGCTAAAATTTGGTCAAAACCTGCAGCAACTTCATATGCAGATTGCCCAGCACCGCTTCAACCAGGAGTGGGATCCAGCTGGCTTCATTTAGACAGGGTCCTCGATGGTTCTGAGGCACACTGAAGATGTGCTGCTGAAACTAGAGTTTTGGAAAGCAGGCCCAAACTCCTGGGTTTCCATATGCCAGGTCCTGCCACTCGCCCTTACATGCCAAATAATGAGGCATGGTGAAGGGCAGAGAAAGGAGATTTATTATCCAGGACATACCGTGGGAAGAGGCAAAGCACACACTCAGGCCATTCTTAGTCATCTCCAGGGTACAGACATGAGCTTTAGCTTTAAGTAGACAATTAGGCCAACAGACAAAAGTTATGAATAATTAAACAGTCCCAGGCACAGGTGAATTGCAGTGTTCAAGTGGGGCCTGGTTGACCATTATCTCAATCCTTGTTCTTCGGGGTTCTGGAGAAGTTATTGCTGTCATTGCTTGAGAGGAGCAATCTGGTTCCCAAGACGTGATTACTCCTGCTCCAGGGTGCAGCCTCATCATTATAGGTAATTGTCCTTGTTTGGAGGGGCAGTCTGTCCTGCAAAGCTCTGCTGTTCCTCAGGGGTAGTTTTGGTACTTTGTTTAAAGGTGTTACCCATCACTCCTATCCTTCCTTGAATCCACGGTGGCTGCAGGAGAGAATGGCTCAGAGCAAAGGACAACAGGTACAAAATGGAAGCAGGGATGCCAAGCTTTTCTCCTGTTTTTAGTTAATTTGTGGGCCCAGGTAAGGCGTCAGTGCTTTTCAGCAAAAGCAGTTTAAGCATCAGTAATACTGCTATGATCAAATAATTTTACAATAACATCAGTCACTTGAGGGTGGGCAGGGTGGATCCCAGAATCACACACACACCATAAATTAAAAACCCAGTTACTTAGATCGTAACAAGTACTACAAAGAAGGATACAGGGGGAAGCCCCTGGGTCCTGGACAAAGTTGGGATGTTGGTGGCGGGCAAGTCCCCAAATCTTCCAGATTAGCCAGGAATGATGGCTTGTGTCTGTAATCCCAGCTATTTGGAAGGCAGCGATGGGAGGATCACGGTATGAGGAATAAAAGCCAGTGGGGCAAAAGTGTGAGACCCTATCTCAAAAATATAAAGTAGCTGGGGGCATGACTCAAGTGGTAGAGAACTTGCAAATACAATGCCCTGAATTCAAACTCCAGTAATACACACACACACACACACACACACACACAGACAAAAACAAGCTTCCAGATTAAAGGTGTTCAGAAAAAGATGGGTGCTGGTGGCTCATGCCTGTCTGTAATCCTAGCTACTTGGGAGGCTGAGATTGGGAGATTGGATGTTTGAGGTTAGCTCCAAGTAAACAGTCCGTGAGAAATCATCAAAATAATCAGAGCAAAAATGGGTTAGAGGTATGGCTCAAACAGTAGCGAAGCCCTGAGTTCAAACCCTAGTCCCATCAAAAACAAAACAAAAAGTGTTACGGATGGCCCCCCAAATTCCTGGCTTAAGCAACTAAGGAAAATGGAAACGAATGGGCAGATGTGGATTAAAGAGAAGAACCTCTCTCACCTGAATGAGTCTGACTCCAGCAGCCTCACAAACTCCCCAGTTCCACACTTGCCATCCTTTTCACTCGGTGTCCTCCGATGGACTCTCTGAACTCTTTTGTCAATTCCTCACTCCTTCCTCAGCTGACAGGTCCTGTTACACACAATCTACTCTAGTCTCTTTCTGTTACCACACTCTAGAGTGACATCAGGATGTATGTCCCTGAAGCTACTTCGAGTGGTATTGAGATGTTCAGCTCACATTTCATACTTTTCTTACTCTGTTCAGAAAATTCTCTCTTCTGTGAGAGCTGACACATTGGTCTGTGGGCTACTGGATCTGTTGTGGGGAGGTGTTTTGGGAAGGGGAAATGATATTTGGCAAAGGGTGCAAAACCTGGGCTGGAGTAAATGGCGGGGGGGAGGGGGGGTTGAGAGACAGGCAGGACCTAGGCTCTGTGGAGCATGAATCTCCCAGGATCCAGGAAAACCAACCTGGGCCTCCTGGAGCCTCTCCTTGCCCAGGAAACCAAAAGTTGGATCTTTCCAGGGTAAGGAACAAGAAACAGCTTCCCACAAAACTGGAAGGGCCCTCTGTGCTCCAGCCCTTCCTGGTAACACCAATTCTGACTGCCTACACCTGGCAGCCTCAACTGTTTTTTGCTCAACCTATAACCCTTCTCAGGCCTGGTTTCATTTCCCAGCTTTGGGAGGATGGGAGCAGTGCTACTTTTGAGTCCCCAAGATTCTTAACAGTGGTTTACCCCTCATTCTTCCAGCCCCACCCCAGGAAGGAGCATGGAAAACAATCTTCTGCATCTCAGGGGCCTACACCTGTCACAAGGGTCAGAAGTAACAAAGGAGTCCTAGGTGGCAGGAGAGATGAAAAGCACCTACGGACAGTGATGGCAGAGGAATACCTCTCAGCCACTGTCCTAGACTGCAGATTCCGGAGGATGCAGGTTCTCACCCTAGCTTAGACCATTCCCTCATCATCACTATCTCCCTCGAGGATCCTTTCATCTGGATTTCATGGATATACCATACATAAATGTGTGTATATGTATGTGTGTGTGTATGTATGTATATATATACGATTAGGGTTTGAACTCAAGGCTTCATGCGTCTGCCGCTGGGGCCACACCTCCAGTTCATCTTGGTTTGGTTATTTTGAAGATGGGATCTTGAGAACTATTTGCCTGGGCTGGCTTCGAACCACGAACCTCCTGAGTAGCTAGGATTACAGGCGTGAGACACTGGTGCTTGGCAAACCACATATATTTTAAAAATCAAGAAGCTGGGCATCGGTGGCTTTCACCTGTAATCCTAGTTTATTCAGGAGGCAGAGATCGGGAGGATCGCGGTTTGAAGCCAGCCCAGGCAGACAGTTTACAAGACCCTATCTCGATAAAACCCATCACAAAAAAGGGCTAGTGGAGTGGCCCAAGGTTGTAGGCCAAGTACCGCAAAAATAAAACATAAAAATAAAAATCAGCCTGGAAGAGGTTTCCTTGTGGGCAGAGCCACGGGGTGTAAATTGAGAGACTGCAAAGGCCATTTCAGTCAACCTTCTTGCAGGAAGTGGGTGCATGTTTAGGGGGAGTGGACTAGGCCCACTATACGAGGAACTTGATGCTGTGGATACCAGGGCTAACCAACACTAGGATGTCAACATTTTTCTCAGATGTCAGTTACCAGCGGACACCAAACACAGGCAGCCCAATTGTACTTATGGTGACTCTCCCATTTCCCCAAGCACCCCCAAAGCGGGCTTGGTGAACTTGCAAGGTAAGAATGGGGGAGGAGGGCTGTAGGGGTTCCAGGCTTGAATTGAGGCCCAGGGTAACAGCACGGCTCAGGACTGGACACCTGCTCTCCGAGCTTGGCCAAATTGCTGACCTTGGCTTTCCTACCTTAGCTAGGGCAACAGAGTGAATCCATTTTAACAGCATTTGTCACACACAATGACTTTTCCATTGCTTCACTTTACTATCCACATGATGAAAGCAGTATTTGGGGGAATACACTCAAGATTAAGGCTGAGGCACTTGCTTCAGGCCTAGAGTTCTTTGCTAGGGCACTGCTGTCAGAACTCAGGGCCTCACGCTGCTAAGCAGGCACTCTACAACTTGAGCCACTCCACCAGCCCTTTTTGTTTTTTTCGAGATAGGGTCTCAAGAACTATTTGTCCAGGATGGCCTGAAACTTCAAGATCTATCTCCCAAATAGCTAGGATTACAGGCCTGTGCCACTGGTGCCATGTCATGTGTCTTTACAGGCTGACCTCACTCTCACAGAGGGTTGGCTACCATGTTGGGCTTGCAGCTCCTCTTCCAGACATCACCAACACACAATCACCACACTATGAGGTGTTTGTTGTCCTGTTTTTAGACAGCAGCTTATTTTGCCATCTTGTGCTAAAACCACATTTTGGTTCAAATGAAATCTTTGCCTCCATTTCATACCAATCAAAAGAAATAGAAAAAGTCACATTTCTAACCCAGGAGCAGAGGAGCAGCAGAAGCTTCTGTGTGGCACAATATCGTGGACATCATACTCTTATTTCAGTTCCTAAATGCTAGAATTTGAAAGACAGCATAAACACATGCTCAGTGGACACAAAGTCAACCTAGCATCTTCACCTTTCAGTGACTAGCTGTCGAGCTAACACTAAGGGTCATTAGCCAATCGGAACCACCTTTGAATCCAAGCAGTTTTACCAGCTTTTATTATAAACACCAGCACATTTCAAGTTCCCTCTTTTTGATCACAAATATAGGACTTTTTTTTTTTTTTTTCTTCTCCTCTTAAGTATACAGCATGAGACACAGCATCTGGGCTCTCCAGCTCTTACAGAAATTTCGTTAGGACAAGTTTAGGGTTAGTATCCACAGCTCAC